CGAAAAACTCTCTCAAACATTCTACATACATCTCAAGCATAATCTTGTATAGATTTATCGACTCTGATGTAATAAAGAATTTATACTACCATTAGCATCCAATATCCTATCTTTACTGTGCTTAAAAGTGCTCATAACATATTTGGGAAGAAATGAGTTCAAATAGTAACTAATGTTGATTTATGAAGAAGCACGCTAAAATTAGTTCAAAACTGTCTCCAATTCATGATTTTCTTCTTCTTTTTTTTTTTTTTTTTTTTTCCCCGGTTTTTTTTTCTCTCTTTTTTTTTTTTTTTTTTTTTTTTTTTTTTTTTTTTTTTTGCTGCCTAGACATTAATGGTACTTTTGGGTGGAAAAATAATTAGAGTATTAATGATTTATCAATTATGAATTACCTAATTTCGAGGGATCTTTTGCGTGTGAAGCTACCATAAGAAGCCAAACTTCTTAGGGCCCACTAAATTTAATTTCATCAACTGCGATTGTGATAGACATCTGAATTTTGTGTGTAATCTTGGTATTAATCACCGTTTGATTGTTAATAATGTATTTAATTAAAGTATTGAGACTCAAAATTCATCCTAAAAGGTTAATTTATGGTACGAAATTCCTTTGAAAACCGATATTATGGACGTTCTTGGCCAATGTGAAAATTCCGTTCATATTTTCTTAACACCCTTCCTCCAAAAATATATCACATCATGTCTACGCTGCAACAAAGAAGGTTGCACACTCCATCGAGATCATGCCAAACCCATATTCACGTTGATACTTTACCACCTCCAGAGTTGATTGTCACGTCCCTTAGCGACTTATCCATACTTTCATTTAAATTTTCTACATATGTAAGGATATTCATCTTACGCTTTCACATGCTTAAGTTTGAAGCAAGACTCTATCCTTCGAGAGTAGTTGAGACATAAAATTTCATTCCAAAGGGTTAATACTCAAGATCATCTTCATGTCTAGTCGATGTGGAATTTCTGTACAACATTCTAACACAAAGTTCTAATCCAAATTAAGTAATTATAGGTATTAACTGATCAAATATGTAGTTTCATAATCGACCAAGCTTACCCACGACAGGTCCGAAGGCGCTGACGAAAGTTAGGTCATCTTTTCCAAACCTATGAGAATTGCAAGTTGCACGATCTTGAACAATTAGAGTAATAATTTGTCACATATAAATCTTTATAACGAAAATATTCTTCGATATTTAGGTTTTGAAGCAAACAAAATATAAAAATGGACACCACGAACTTCGAATGTTGAATAAGTGGGATCATTTACCAATTCAGAAAGAAAAGATTATTTTGTTCCAAAAGTCAACTTCGAATAAGAATAATGAGACAGATTATTAAGATGGTAGCACTAACTTCAGCAAAATTAGAATTGGAAGAATGGATAAGAGAGAATTCCGAGATTGAGAGTATTGAAAATTCCTGTTTTCTTCCAATTGATTGTCTACGTTGTTAGGTTTATTTGAGTTGAATTATATTTGTGAATCTTGAATTATTGATCCGTATTTAAGCAGATGGAATGAGTCATCTTCATCTTCCAATTAAATTAATTTTGCATTGTTTGAGCTCCATTCTTTGAAAAAAAAAAAATACATTTTAAACAGTATTTTAATATTATTTTAATTACACATTCTTTAACAAAATAATATTACACGTAAATTCAAAACTTTTCTTTATTTTTAACCACATATTTTTTATCAATAAAATATTCAAAAATTCATTTCTATAAAAAGAATGTTGTTACTTGAAACAGAGTTATAGGATCTATAAACGAGTATGATGCACGAGGTTTGAAATTTGTGCCACTACATAAAGAGATTTCAACGCATTGATAATTTTAATTAATGATACTTAGTGATCATATATAATTCTATATTTTCATGGTGATGTCACCTGTGAACATGTTTGCCATAGTGTAAAAAGTTCCCTTATAAGTAATTTTACTATTAATTAATAAAGTCTTTGAGATAAATAACTTTTATTGCTCAAAATTAAAAATAAGTTACTATATATATATATATATATATATATATAAGTAAATTATACAAACATATTTAAATAGTTGAATTATCCAAATGTGATTTCATGAAACAAGAAACATGTAATAATTTTATTAATATTCATATCATGTATATATGATCTTAATTATATTTAATTGAACAACTCCAATAGAACTTAAAGTCTAGATGTTAAATACTAAAATCATCTAGACTAAAAGTTTTTCTTGATTTATCTCTACAAATAAGTCGTGGTATATAAATGCATTACCACAAAACAATTCAAGAGTGAACAAAATATTGGGTTTTGAAGACTGCCCATAAATTTAGAACCAAATTAAAAACGGGTGCCGTTATTTGCATCCACAATTTTTTATATATGCGTCCCTATTAAAATATTTAAATTTTAGAAAATATCTATTTTCATTTGCGTCAAATTTCAATATTGTCCTTATTAAATTCAATCATTTAAACATTATAGATCCATACAAATTTTATATATTCATCCACTATAAATATATTCCTAATACAATTTCGAAAATCACTATATTCATCCAATCACTATCAACATTTAATCTGGTTCTTACTTTTTATTTTCTATATTATCATGTCAGCGCTTTAATATTTAGTTATAAAGGTCAACAAATCTTGCTTCTGCTTTTTTTCTTTTTTCTTTTTTGAATTTATAGAATTCTTTCAAAAGTATACTATTCACGCAACCAAACAAATTCCTCCTCGAATTATATATTAATTAATTTGTGTGCTTATAAACTCATAACTTTGATTGTTTGTGTTTCGATTGATAATTTTAAGTTTGTTTCCTTTTATAATTGAAGAATATTTGGACAAGTATTGAAACTTATTTTGAAATTTTTCGTATATTTTCATCCGTCAAATCAATATTTAAAAAGTATAAAAAATAATATTCTATTTTTCGTATCATGAAAAAATTATAACTCTAATAATGTGTTAATTTTTTTATTAATTTTTTTTGAGTTTCCATTGAAAATGATATTTTATGATTAGATTGTTATGGTTTTGATTAAAGATGATGTTTTATGATTATTAGAATTTTAAGAATATAAAAAAATTTATGAAAATAAACATTAGTGGATGAATTGAGAACGATATATTTTTATTTAATTTTATATATGTCTATTTAGGTAAATTTACATAAAATAAAAAATATAATATAATTATTTTTTTAAAAATGAATGTATATATAAAAATTATGAATGTAAATAACGCTACCCCTATATAAAGTGATGATTGTCCACTTGATAGGATGAGCCAACTAACAAGTAATTAATTTCACCTATATCTTCCAGTAGTTCTTTCACTCTCACTCTCATGATCATCATCTTTAAATACAAAGTGGACCACTTGCAGCATTAGAGTAGAAATATACGAAGGCTATTAAGTCTAACCTGAAGATCAACAACTAGGATACGTTGGTCCACAATATTGAATTAAACATTGCAATAACAAGGTTTTAAGTTTTGTTTTCTTCTTTAACAATGTCCAATGTTATTCAATCTCCATAATCAAACATGTTGTTATGAATTGGTTGTTCAAAACCAACAAATCAATACATGGAATGAAAAGATGGAAAGCTACAAAATCGAACGTTGGCTCCAAGATACAACCATGCCATGTGGTTGCATGGTATACTTTTGTGACCGTTGAAGCGCCGTTTTTGGCCGTTGCGGTTTGAATTTGGTAACGTTTCTTGCATGTTTTGGCACCATTTGGTGTGTATGATCAAGTCCTATATACATGAGATCAATATTCATGCCAAAAAACATATTGAAAACACTTGAATTCATTCCTCATTCCTCAAAATAGATCAAATCCCGATTTAAATTCATATTTATTTTCTCGTTGTGTTCTTCAAGTTTTGAAGAATTTTAATTTGTGTTTTGATGAAATTCTTTACAAGATTTGTTATAATCCTTCAAATCATTTGCCGAAACACCCTTGAGCATCTTATTGAAACACTAGATTGGGAGCAACTAACGTTTGAGGACAGCAATCCCGCGTCTGAGCCTTCGAAATTGTTTTCGATAATTTTCTAATTTCTTCATCTTGTTGCTACAATTCTTGTGCTTTTTCTTTTTGTCTCTTCTCCATAGTGTTCTAAAAGGCTCACATTGGCTCCACCTAGGTGGCGCCAATACGCGAGGCTCCAGGAAAATGCCAAATAACCGCGCCTTGACGCCTTATTAAGTGGTCAAAGGTGTTCATTGACCGCTAATGCGCCCTTAGACACTTTTATGTGCATCTAGGTGCGCATTATTAAATTTTATTTTATTTATTTATTTATTATTATTTTTTTTTTTACAATTGTTTTATGTTAAAACTTAAATGATGATTTTTTTTTTTTTCATTTTATCTCTTCTAGATTCAAAACAGTCACTTGAAGACTTAAACAAAGAAAATTCCCCAAAAATTCTTATTTATTTACTATTTGGTATTTACATTTGATAAATAAGTTTTAAATGTTTGGTAGGTGTTATTTATAATTATTAAATATTTTTTTATTGATTAAAAATTTAAAATAATATTAAAATAAGAAAACGTTTTTTTATGCCTATACCTCACATAAGCTTGCCTAGCCCTTAGCTTAGCCTTGACACATCGTCACGTATTACGTCTTTTAGAACACTGATTCTCCATCACCCGATTATTTTCTGACACATGTTATTATCATGCATTTCATTTTCAATGCATTAAATCATGGCCGGCATACTGTGAAAACTGAAAACGCAAAGAAAAGTTTGATAGAAAGGCTAATTAATGATAGTGAAACAAAACCCAAAAAATAATTCATTTTATTAACAGAATTTACCAGCAAGCAGAAATGAGATAACCCTCTGTTTGTTCTTCTTTCTTAAACTGCAATTCATGCTCTAAAAGTTGGCAAAACCCAAATTTCTTAAGATAGTAATGCGAGATTCAGTTTTATGAGAAGGGCCGTACCGATAATTCTGATTTTACCTATGAACGATTCCAAAGATCAAAATTTTAATATGTGATTCACATATTTAGAACTAACATTAGATATGTGTACAATATGCCGATGTTAGTTATCACGATAAAATTGAGGAGATCACAAAAGATGAATAAATTTCAGATAGAATGAAAAGTTTAATTTCATCTAAATTTCAACTGCTGCATTTTGGCTTCTTGCTGACATTGTTTTACCCCAGACGGAACATGCCTTGTTTGTATCGAACCAATGGAGTAGCAGAGATTCGGGTTGTCCCAGACCCGAAAACGCTGACCCATTTTTCCATAAAACCATTCGGAGAATTTTATCTCCCCAGTTAGATTGTTTCCATTGAGGTACGTTGCACTAACATTAGGCAAAAATGAAAGCTTTGGGGGGACGTTCCCTGTGAGTTTGTTATCATTAAGACCCAAAAATCTGAGTCCCTTTAACTCTGCAATGGACTCTGGAATTTCACCTGTCAAACTCGTATTAGACCTGTCCAATACGGTTAGGCCTATCGGATTAGGCAACCTGACGTTCATTAGGTCTCCCCCAATGGGATTGTTCGAGAGGACTAACTCTTCCAATGAACTCATTTCTTCAAATGATTTGGTTCTTCCACCTGAAAATCTGTTGTTACTAAGATCCAATAACGTCAATTTCTTCAAATTTCCAAACTCATATGGGATTTTGCCTTCCAATTGGTTATTGCTTAAATCAAGCTTCAATAGTGAAGTTAACCCTGCAAAACTCAAAGGCAGAGCACCAGATAGTGAATTTCTGCTCATATCAAGAATTTGAAGCTGAATCAGCCCACCAAACTTGTCTGGGATTCTTCCCTTAAAAGAGTTTCCAGCAAGATTCAACTGCTTTAAGTTGATTAAGTAGCCAATAGTAGTCGGTATTTCACCTTTTAGCCCATTTTGCATAAGCACTAATGAATGGGGACTATGCTAGTTTGCCAGGGTCATCTGCACAGACCCTAGCCATACTATGAGAGGGTGGGCATTTTTTTTGCCCTTAAAAAATGGGTGTGGGCCCCTTATTTGAGAGATAGTCTGGCCAGGCTCTGTACAAATGGCCTTGACAGACTATCATTTTCCAATGAATGGAGATTCCTGAGGTAACCAAAAGTAGCCGGGATTTTTGTAACGAGACCGGGATTTGATCGAAATTCAAGTACCTCCAAGCTTCCAGCAAGAGAACCAATTCTCTGTAGGAAGTGCAACAGGATGATGTTGCGATGAGACAAAGCATTTGAAGAGTGAGAGTGATTTTAGGTGCCTTAGTGAGAATAAATGGGAACTTATAAGTTCCATATCTTGAGCACATTTAATAGAATTATCATGAATAGGTCCAATTATCGATTCTGTGACATGCCAAAAGCCATCAAATAGATCACAAGAGATCCTGTGGAAGATAACGAATTAGATTTCACAATCTGGTAATGAAACTAAAGTTGGATATTAGATGGGATAGACGATGGTCCCCTCGAAATTTTGATATGAAATATGTAAAAGATCCTACAAATTTGAATGCCTGTGTTTTCTGATCATTTTATGACACTTAAAACAGCTAAATAATAGGTCGATGAAAATGGCAGGTGACACAAATGTTCAGAAAACATAACAAAATACTCAGTATAGGTATATGCAGTAATTTCAAAAATGTTTAGCATCATATACATTTTACTGATGCCAAAAAGGGGTTAAAAAAATTAAAAAGTAGAAATATTTTACCTGTATTGGAGTCCAACCACATGGATCTGGATACAAATCTGATCCATTCCAAGATTTAACCACAAAATCTTGAATAGTAGAATACAGAGCTTCTTGTTCTGTTTTCTTCATTGGAGCTGACACATTTTCATCATCTCCATTGCACCATACACCCAAACAGAGTATGCAGATAATGCAAATGTAAAATTTCATGATCGGGAGGATAGGATAGTTCTCGATAGTATTAATCAAGAAAAATAATCTAAATTTTTGTATACTAAATTGTCTAATTTTGTCCGGTATTGTGTATAGAGCAACCACTTGCATGAAATGCAGAGCACACTAAGACTTCATATCAAAAGACTGAGAATAGTTTTCAATATTAAAATCCAAAGGAATGAAGTCAAATAGGGGAACTTAATGAAAAATGAAATTAGCAAAAAGAAGCACAAACAAAAGGCTATTTCAGGCTAACTTTATAGTAAAGCTAAGGTAGTAAAGGAAGTATAGAGTAGCAATTGATAAGAAAGGGACTTTGCAATCTGGCTCTGTTTTAGAGGCTTCTTCAAGATTACTTTTCATTAGAGATAATTGTGATTGGTAAACAGATGAAATATCATTCTTGAAAAGAGGGAAAATCAGGTTAGTGCTCAACGTTGAATAGTGCTTTCTTGCCCGATGAATTTACCAAGATGGTATGTAGCCAGGTTCCTCAACATTTCACATGGTGTAGTTGTGGGTCCAAATTTATTTAAATCAGTAAAAATCTAAGTTGTCAAGTGACCATAATAGTTAATGTGGATATGCGACTTTCACGTGATTTAAATTTGAATAATAAAATTGTCAAGCACTTAATATTCCTTTCTGATTGAACTTAAAGTCATGTGCGAATTTAATGTCCATATCGAAGACTTAGGTCACCGGAATTCACATATTTAGTCCCTATTTGACAAATTTTTTTGAATTATAAGATAATGGGTCCTATGAAATATATAATAAAAAGTGGATAAAAGTTTATGGATCTAATGAAATGCAAAGTTTTGACCAGCTTCTAATTCAAAAATAAATAAATTTGTCAAACAATAGCTTCAATACATCAAGGTTCAAAATGTCACTTTTGAAAGTTGGGGAGCCCAGTCCTAATTTTCTCTAAATGGAAAAGTATATTGGGAGCGAACGCAGACATTTGGAATTAATGGGGTATAATTAAATTTATTAAAAAGTTACAAAAAAATTTATGTATTCTATAAAAACACAGACACATGATCACTATCATAGATTCACAAATCTCATATATATGATAAATAACAATTCCCAAAGAATTTCAAATAATCTCACATTTATGATGAATAAATTTTTTTAAAGAATTTTCAAATTAAATATCACAAATGAGAAAATAATTTCAACTCTCACTATATCAATTGTTCGATCATTGTTTGAACTCTATTTTAATTAAAAAAAAAAAACTCAACTATCATTATTGCCCAATTCTAACTTTCGGCTCTTTAAAAAAAAAAATCCGACTTGAAAAGTGACCCACTAGGACCTTGTGTAGATCCGCCAATGATTGGGATGATTCAAAATGGGTTTATGAATTGGGGAGTTTAGGGTTAGAAATTAAAAGGGAGATTCATTTAGGCTTGTGGTTAGGGTTTCATGGAGTGAGTGGGAGTAGGGGTACGAGTAGGGGGTCGGGGTCGGGTAGGGGACCATTTTGCATGCAAAGTGGAGAGGCTTGTAAGTACATGCAAGACAGAGGTAAATTTTGTCCATGCCTTTTCTAAATTTTTCGGCAGTTGGGGTTTAAAGGTTTATTTTTTTTATTTTTTTTTTTTGGTACTTTGAAGTAACTTCTAAAAATCGTATTAAATTTTAATGAATAGAGAACAACTATTGATAATCTTGATTTATGAATGTATTTAGATAGAATATTATACATCCCGGCTATAGATCAATCTATTAACTTGATTACAAATATATTTTATACATTATAAAGTTAACACATTACGCGGCTCCTATTTGGCCCCCATGATCTAAAACCCTTTTTCAATCATTCATTTTATGGAACTCACATTTTTCATTTTCAACTTTTTAATCACGCATTTCATTAACTTTTTAAAAAAAAAAATCTAAAAATTATTATTTTTTATCTAAACCAAACAGGGGCTTCATAGAACTAGAACAATGATTAAAACATAGATGCATAAATACATCGTTAATACGGTTGATTATTAAGTCTAATTTTATTCACTATTGTTTATTACACGTTACAACCTTTCAGTGAGACTCTAATTGTGATCCAGCCCAGGCCCTAATAGGGGATGGGCCATATCACAAACTTTGTAAGCCATATCTGAGCCACGCATATCCGAGCCATGTATAGCTGAACCCAAACGATTCTGGAAGAGGTAACCCCCACAAGCAGCAGCCTCAACGAGTAGAGGCGAAGGCAGCAGGATGAGCCCAACACGAAATCTTCCAATCAATTTTTTGATGTGATTAATATAACGTCACTACCATCATCGCCATTGTCAGCCCATCCTGTCAAGTCCACAGCTACAAGCTAGGCTGTATGGATAATAAAGTGGTATTGACATTTACACCCTTTGATTGATTGATGTCTATGATGGGAAGTGACAATCGCGTGGATGAAGCACGTGTCTCTTCATCCAACAGCCATTATTCATACTCTTACACTACAAAAACTCACACTTAGTACCATCTTAAGATAATGCAAGCTTAGACTTTCAAGCTATAACTTCACTCTCTTTTTTACAATACTCCCGAAACCGACCCCCTTTTTGATATTGGATGCTCATGTCTATAGCCTTCTCACACTCATATACTTATCCTTCCAATTGACTTGACCGTCAAAGTAAACACGGCCAACTTCACCCATTGAAGGAGGCCACGCGTGGCTAACAGTTTGTCTTAATGTACAGAAAAATGACTGAAGTGGATGTGAGAGGTATAAGGAACTATTGGCCACGTCAAAGGTACGATTTTAGAGGCTAACATTACACATTTATTATGTGACACAATGGTATTGTTACTTTCACTCTGCAATTGTTTGTTGAAGTCACGTTGTCTATAAATCTAGACTTGTGACACAACATGGTTAGAAGGGGGACCAAGAGATAAATGCAAGAAAAATTGTACATAATGAAGCTTGGAAGCTTTTCAAGGGTTAGAATTGGACCAAGCTATGCCTATGCTATCAGTATTGGAGAAAGATAAGGCCTAAAAAGGATGACTCGAAGACTCATTTTCTATCCTTGTACTAATTTGATCTCCTTCAGAGATGATGGAGTGAATTAATAATTCAGTGAAGTTTGGTGTATATTCTATTTGACATCATTTTTGATAGAATATCGCATGACATTATGTCATTTCACAGTTTCAAAAAATAATAATAATAATAATAAATAAATAACTTTCTTTTCATCCAATATATTTTTACAAACACATTTTTCTGTAAATAAAGTGATCAAAGTTAATGTACAAGTGACAAAATCCTCAATAACTAATGATACTATTTCAGGTTTAGTGGGATGGGTAAATGAGTATGGCACTTTGGGATTGGGGGTACTTTTTGTGCTAGAGGTAATGTATCAAAAATTGGACCAGGTCGGTTAGTTCAACCAAAAAATTGAGAACCGGCTATGAAAAAATCGATGTAAAATTTTTTAACCTATCAGTTTAATCGCAAACCAATGAACCGGGTACAATTTTTGCGAATACATCCAGTCACTTTTTTTTAAAAAAAAAAAAAAAAAAGTCAGCTGGGTTGATAAACACAGAAATTTGTCCCTACCTTTTCTCTACTTGTTCAAAACTCTTTAAAACCCACGGCAACCCAACTAAACTAAAATCATATAACAATTAAAGAAAACACATAAATTAATATTTATGCTCTTAAGTAGGAAATGTATGTGTATAAATATATGAATTGTGTGTGTGTGTGTGTGTGAGAGAGAGAGAGAGAGAGAGCAGAAAATGAGAAGAAAAGAACCGTCGTTGAAGAAATAGCTATACTTAAACAATCAACGGGTGTAACAATCAACAGGTGTATAAAAGGTGGGGTTTGCATTTTGCATACATGGGCCTTGTGTCTATAACTTATAACTTTGGGTCTTCTGGCCATTTAGGCCATGACTGAGATTCATTAATTTGAAGAAATGTATTATAAAATAGTGATTGATGAAAAATATGTGGTTAAAAAAGAAAGAATTTTTTTTATTTACGTATAATATTAGTTTAATGAAGAATGTGAATAAAAATGAGTACCGTAAAAGAGTAATGGAAAATAAAGTAAAGTAAATGATAACAAATAGGAGCTTAGTCTCCAAGTGCTTATTTTGTGAAATTTAGATATATGTTTTTTTTTAATTTTAAAAATTATCGGCCAGATTACAATTCGACCCTTGTTCAACCTTTTAGCTCTTGATCCTCGACCCGTTTTCTTTTTCAAGTCAACACTAAGTTGACTTTTAAAACATTGGTTAGAAGTGATTATTTAGATGAGTTGTAAATAGTAGCATAATATGAACAAATCCTTGTAAATCCGAGTGATTTGTTCTAACAAAAGAAGAACAAGTGTTCAATCTATCAACACAACTATTCTATCAAGCGAAGACGCCATGAAAACGGATGAAATTAAAACCTACATTAAAGCATTATCTCCCGAAGAAAAAAATTATAGTTACATAAGATTTGGATACAATTTTACTCGCTACCTCGTGAAAGAAGGTACTTCCCGAGGCTAAGTAACCACAATACTTCGAGCTTCATGAACCAAAAGGTTATCACTTGCTAGGGATTGAAATAGTCAAATAGATATGTCTATCAACATTTATATTTTTTTTTCCTTAAATTGCCCAAAAAGAAAAATACTAAATATAATAGTGAATTTACACCAAGTACTTTTCCTTTTGAATTTTCAAACTTACAGATACTACTTTTTCATTTCCTAAATACTGTTTTGTTTTAGTTCGACCTGCAAAACGGATCATGAAAGAGACTATCAGAATGGTACTCGAATCCATTTATGATCACGAGTTCTCAAACAAATTGCATTTTTGCTTAGGTTGAGGCTATCACTTTCAGTATTAACAAACAAAAGTATTCGAAAGAAATCTATATGCCTAATGTCGAATCAGGATAAACTATAACATAAATAAAGAATTTGTTGAACGCTTCTTTGGTGCCAAAGTAATAGCTATGAATAGTCATCGACTTCTGAGAAAGGTGGAAGATTCTAGATTTCATACTTTAGTAGGTCTCCAACATCCTTTCGATGACTTATGTTGTATTGAAGGGATATCTATCTAAGTCGATCGATTTGAGTAAAGCCAGTGATAGAATGGAATGGGGAAATGATACAGAAAATGTTTCTTCAAGTGATTGAAGTAAATCTATTTGGACTCTACAGTCATCACTTGCAGCAGCGAGAACAGAGAATTTTTAATATCCTCCAGAACGAAACTGAAAAAGGTATGCATTTTTGTACTCCGTTCTGTATATTCTCTAATATTATGTACATGTAATATTGAATGGTTTGGTTTTTGCGAT